ATATCACGCAATGAAGCCTCAAATTGAAGTGTTAACTCCCACTTTTTTCCCTGTTCTTAATTGATATACAGTATATTATTATTATTACTTTTTTTTTCTTTCTAAAAACGTTAAGTTTATTAATATGTAATTTCATTGAAAATTATTTCATATTATGTATATATAATTTGCTATATAATTAATGGCTTTGTAACTGTGTCACGATAGACAAGCCGCCTCGACTAGCTTTGTAGCTATTAGCGGCTTGTCATGTCTTATTAATGTATGTACGTATTTTATATGAATAAATTGAAAATGAATAAAAAATTAAATTGAAAATGCTAAGAGACTTGAACTAGTACAATAATGGTATATAACATGAAGTTTCCTGAACAAAATGGCGGAAATTTTAATAAAAAATGTTGATGTTTGATCGTAAAATACAAAAAAACTGCAGGTTTGTGCGAGTGACAACAAGTGAATTCGTACTCAGCGTATAAAAACCTATAGATTCATGTGAATTTAAAGTAGTGCCCGAAGGGGGGCAACAAAACTGAACGAAAAGCGGCAAGGGAATACGGCCTAGTAACTAAACTACCATGATGCTTTGTATTATTGAAAGTTGCTCATTGATACCTTTATCTTTCCAGTCGTCTAGACTATCACACAAGGCTTTCTCATCCGCTGATGACAAATTGATCTTCTTTGCCAGAGACTGCATCCCTTGCAATGCAGCCAGGAAGGTTGGTACAGTCCAGTCAGAGAAGTTGCAATGGGCCCACTTGTTTCTGATGTCTGACCTTACAGTCTTTGCATCAGCTGCAGCGCCAGATGTTACAAATGGGTATGCTTCACACATAACAGCCAACACTGCAGACATATCCATGCTTTCGTTGAAACCAGTAAACATTGCCATAAAAGGCTGCACAAATAACTTTGCCAAAGACAAACGATCCTTAACAGCATAGTCATAAGCACTGGGTAATTTGTGGACATTGTTATTGTTAATGTTTTTATATTGTAGTAAAAACCGTGAAGGTGGTAGTTTCTTCTTAAATGTTGTAAAAACTTGTTTGTTGATTTCATCTGGTGGTTTACACAAATGGTGATACCAGATCTGCATTTCATATTCAAGAACGTTTCTTACCACGGGTGTAAGGACTTTTGTAAGGCAAATTCCAGCCACAATCCACCTTCTTTCGTTATGTGATAAACTGTCCATACTTGATGCATTTGATCTAGAAATATATAGTATTATATATATGTAATTGGTGTTTGGTTGCCAAAGCGATTCTGCTGCAATTAGCAATGGCAAAATTAACAGTTATTCTGTCAGCGTGGTATATGAGCTGATAGTCAAGGTACGTACAGTAGCACCGAGTTCGCTATCAGTTATATACGACAAGAGTAAGTTGAATAACTGTTTTATTTTATAGACAACTACAGAATTCACGCACTCATCTGTATGCAAATATTTTTGACTGTAAGTTTAGCAATCAACACAACTTGCCTAAACCTGATAAACCACTGTTGCAAACGGTTTTTTGTGGACTTGCATTTGACGCTTAAACTTAAATTTTGGAACTTTGAGAAAACCTCACTTGATAAAATCACGTGCAATTAACGGATCAGGAGGGTTGAGGAGAAATACTTTAACAGGAGGTGCAGTTACAAAGTTCGAAAAATTTAACGGTTGGTTCCAGAGCAGATCGACTCAAGAGTTCGGAGAAAGGACTTTAATTTAAATTAAGTTGTTTTAATCACTTATTTACTGAGGCCGAGGGAAACAGTTTGTTTTGTGGACCCGAGACCGCCGTTGTTGTCCGAGGCGAAGCCGAGGGCAACAACAGCGGTCGAGGGGCCACAAAACACACTGCTTTCCCGAGCTCTCAGTAAATAAGTGTTTTGTTATATAGTATATAAGTGTCAAAGTATGAATAATTCACCGGTTATTGGAGTGAACTTAATTTGAAACCAAAACTGGATAAACGGAACGCCGTAAATGTTTAGTAAAAAGTTTAGAAAATGAACTTTGGAACTTCATGGTTGACACGCATGCGTATTGCACCCATTTTCATATTGACCGGTCAATAAATGTTTCATTGCAGACCGGTTGCCGAACATGACGTTTTGTGGACCGGCACGTGACACGGTTTTGACCAATAGGCAAACAGAAAAATTGAACTTTGACACTAACTATATAACAATAGATGATATACAAAATATGGGGCGGATTCAACGAAATGGCCTGAAATTCGACGAAAGTGAAGTAAATAACATAGTAAACAAGTAAGTCCACCAATAAATATTGTGAATCAGTGCATATTTAGGCATTATAACAAACAATATAACATGCAAGTACTTAACTGAAGATTCAGTTTATCTACAGTGTAATGTAACACTGTATATTCAAAAATCTGTTTTAAAAAATGCATAAAATGAAGTCCTAGCCTCCTAGGGTGGTAAATACAAATCTTTTCTGGGAGAGAATGCCCCCCGGATCCCCTACTATTACATATGACACCACATCAAACTTTTCTCACCAACAACCATCTGTTATCTCCACACTCAGTATAGTATGGTCCCTTTTTCTGGATTGCCCCAAGACAAATTCTTAAAAAGCGCCCTGGCTACTAACCGTGGGACACTTAACCCCTCTCCCCCTTGACAAATTCTTAAAAAACGCCCTGGCACACTGGCTACTTAGACAGGATCTGAAATTTGCAGTATCCCGATATCCACAGGATACTAAAATTTGGTTTTGGATACCAAACTGTGAATGACTTGCCAACTGGATACCAAGAACATTTCAAACATTAGGAAAATGTTAAGCACCTCTGAAAGTCTCCTGATAGCTTTTGAACAAATTATATGGGTTTGCCATCAGAGTCTTTCCTCGTATTATGTGCATTTTTGTGTATAAATGAATTGTCTATAGTTGTTGACTATTGAATCTCCTGTGTTATTGTAATTTGTAACAGTGAGTTATTTGGATGGGACAGGGTATAATACTTATAGGTAATAGCATGGTTTTGAGTGCAATTTGGATATAACATGCCCGAGTGAGTTTTTCAAAGACCTCAAAATAACACGAGTCCGAAGGACGAGTGCTATTTGAGGTCTTTGAAAAACTCACGAGTGCATGTTTATCCAAATTTAACGAGAAACCATGCTATTACTTATTAATAATTTACATAAAAATGTTCTAGACAATTGTAGTTTTAACTTAACACGTTTATAGTGAACATTCCACTGGTAAAGTTTTCCTGGCTTTGTTGTACCGGTATCACATTGTACAACGCTATTAAACAGCTTGAAAATTCCACTCAACTGTGTAATTTTTGTTAGTCTTGTTTAAGGTAAATGCTTTTCCATTTAAAAGTAAATATAAAAGCCATATTTTCTACGCAAAGGCAACTTTTACTTTGTGTAGCGCAACGCCATGTTTGTTTTGTTTTTAAGCAATCTGTGACCGTTACTTCTTCAAACTAAATTCTTTTAAACTGATTGGTTGATTTAATCATCACAATGTTTTTCCACCAACAGGCCTCGATAACATTTTTTCGTGCCTGCGAGCGAAATTCAAAATGTGCCTGCAACTAAAACACATCTTATTTAGATCTTGTGACCAAAATATTGTTAAAATATCAGTATTTTAAAATGTGCCTGCAAAAATGTAAAAGGTGCCTGCGAGCGGCGCTCAGACACTCGCGCATTTTATCGATACCTGTCCACCAATCAGGTCAGTTTGTTAAAGATTTTTGCACTGTGATTACAGAAAATTGCACTGTGATTACAAAAAATTGCACTGTGATTACAGAAATATCTTTAAAAAAAAATCTTTAAAAATTGCACTGTGATTTCGAGTAATATCTTTATGTATATTATTATTATGGTAACCAGTATCCAGAAGTGGGATACTAAACTTTGAATCCTGGTATCCCAGTTGGATACTGAGAAAAAATGTAAATTTAAGACTGTGTACTAACCGTGGGACGGTTACACCAAAATCATAGGCAAAACCAAGAAGTCTGGGGGAGGATGGGTATCACATATCATTCAGGCACATAACATGGATTAAAAGCTTTGCAAAATAAATATAGGTATATTGTGTTTTCCACAAACTGAAATAAATATTACATTCGCCATGAATGTACTGAAACTTCCTGAAAAAATATAGACAGAACTTCAACGTTTAACATTTTGAGCAAAGCAGTGCCGGATTAACCATATGGCAGAAGCGGCATATGCTGCAGGCCCCGCGCTTAAATTGAAAGGCCCCGTGCTTACACTCTTCTATTTTTTCCGTGCCAGACAGTGTGCCAGTGCGAGGCCCCAAATTAAATTTTAAAAGCGAGGCACCAAAAAGCAGGGTTGCGGGGACCATAGTTAATATAATGAGAGAGTTTGGAAGGCCGGGTCACGTGACAAAATAACTTATTGTTCTCGGTCACGTGGAACTCAGAGTGCATGCTTTGAGGTGTTAAAATATACGATAGTATAATAGTTTAAGCCAAACAGAGCCTAAAAACATTAAATTTCATTGATTTTTCGGCGATGCCGGGAGCGAATTGCTTCATATTGGCTGCGGTACATGTCGAAATAATGTTGGAGTTGGAATTCTCCGGATTCCTTCAGGAAAAGACGCATTATCAATGAAAACTCGTGAAGCGTGTATCAACAATATTACAAAGGACCGCGTAGTGGATGAGCATTTGCGAAGGAAAATCAAACTAGGGATCCAAGGATAGTGTGAAGTTTCAAATTGAAAAAGATTCTGCAAGAACTATATAGGGTCGCTGACAACCTAGAAAAGCTGATGTCTTACACTACGAAATAAACAATCACCAACGGCATTTCATCTCATTATATATTGCTTTTAATGCCCTCGACACACGAGTAGCGTGACGTTTGAAACAAGCCTAACACATCAGAAACGTGCTTTGTGAAACTGATACAATTGATCTATCTATTGTGATGCTACACGCGACAATTCAAAATTTCAATTGCAGCTGTCGCTAAAAGCATCCGCACAAGGCTACTGCAAATTTATAATTGAAATAGATGTATACGATATGTTATAAATAATAAGCACTACGTCGTTACATCATTGAAAGGAAGCATTTTATCTTCATCCGTTCCGTATTTTTTTCGCATTTCCGTTCTGTGGTCCGCTCCATCCGCTTCCGCATTTTAACCTAATTGTGACAGATTTTACAATAACAAGTCCGCATTGACCTTTGACTTTTCCCAGTGGCCACGTTGTGTCTATTTTCAGCTTTTCGCATGTTTTGAATAATGTCACTTTAGATTTCAATAGTTTCACAGTTATAGCAGTGTTTAAAGCAGTTTTGACAAGCTTTGATACAGTTCTGTGTACAGAATACTACAGATTAATTCTCGTAAGATCTGTTAGAGTTAACGTTGCACTGAACACGAATTTGCACCGTTGACAACGGCGTTGTGCTAGACAGTAAACAAGGTCCGCGACAGTGTACACGTTGGCTACATGTACCTCCTTGCTTTTTTCTTCCATTGCATAAAGCTTGTTAGTGAGCCAAGCGATTGGCGATAACACGTTGGCGATAACATATTGGCTATCTCCTCGTCTTTCTTATTAAAATAAGGAGCTCTGATTCAACTGATTTCCTTCGTCTCGCAATATTTTCTTCATAAACACCTGTACGAACGCCCGCTTCTGTTTAATAGTTGTTGATGCTTTATTCAGGGGCGGATTCAGACAGGTTTGACAGGTTTATATAAACCTGTAGATTTTCCAAAGAGAGAAAAAACCTTTCGTGTATATAACTAATTTAAAGAATATTCTGTTTCATAAAATTGATGTTGTCTAATCTATTACGCCACTTAATAAACACTGTTGTTGAAATTTGATTATGGATTACCGAACGTATAATTAAGGACTTATCGCCCTGGTTTCCTCTTACGAAATGTTGTAATACTAGACTAATAATCTGCTAATATATCGTCGTGGGTCGTGGACTTGTAAACATCGCATGAATCACACATAACCGCCCGCAATTATGAGTAAACCGGTGGTCAGAGTTTTCTCCATGAGAGTAAACCGGTCGATACGCCATTCGATTGGCTAAACGGCTGTGCTCCGGCGGATGTAAACCGGTCATAAACCTGTGAGTCGAGCAGTATTTAGAGAAAACTGGGCATGAAAGTTAACAGAACTCGAGGACGCGCGAAATATGTTTATAATTTTGCGTGACTGAATCTTTGCGTTGGCGATAGAAGCATTTACATGGATTTCTTGTTCATTTTGAAGGTTTTTTTAGAAGTATATAGTCTAAAATTATAACGGTAAGCTATTTCTACTTACTGTATACTAACTATCGATTCATCAACAAGCGTATCGGTGTTTATACGTGTAACTACAGTCTATACACATGATAGCGCGAAATATGATAATGTACGTATAATCTTGCGTGACAGAATCATTGCGTTGGCGAGAGAGAATCAGGAAATGATTGTGATTATTTGTGAAGCTTTTAATATTCACGCTCTTGCAGTTTGGTTTCTAGTTCATTGTTAAAGTTGGTTTGAAAGCGTATAGATCTAAAATTACAACTATTTTTATATTAAAAGCATCTCTACTTGTACTTATAATAACTGTAGATGCGTCAGCAATTCAGTTGCCAATCCTATATTTTCAGCACTAGCTAATAGGTTTCCGAAAAGGTTCAATTCATCGTTTGAGCTGCGTGTTAGTCCAAAATTCTCTTAAAAGATATATTTTCTAATCATTAAATACATTTAAAAATTGACGCCAGAACGCAGGAAATGCTGTTTCAGAGGCCCAAATTTTTAAAAAATTTCCTGGTTGTGTGGACCTAGTAAACCGGTCACCCAAAACGCTGAATCCGCCCCTGTTATTGATCTGATGCAATTTTTCGCTATTTGCCTGAGTGTACTATTCTGTGATGTGGCACCTTATACAGTCAAATAACAATGTATAATGAATACACGGTCTAAATAATATCGTCTACCGATGGGCACTTTATAATTGAACGCCGGTAACCATACTCATCAATTTATATATCATATTATTGCGTAGAATCTCAAAGAGTTTCTCAATATTCATGTCTGAAATGTTTATATATTTGAAAAACAAGACTGTCTCGCTTCTTCGTACATACTGTACCCCTGTATAATGAGTATACCGTGAAAATAATATCAGCACTCAATTGAATGCCTAGAATCTCAAAGATTTCGGCTCAATATTTACGTCTGAAATGTTTATACACTTGAGTGTTGACTGCACTGTCTAGGCGGTCTAGCTCCTTCCTAGCTCTGTATAATGAATATACCGCCTAAATATTATCGACACTTATTAACTGAACGGCCGTAATGCATAAGATCAATTTATATATTGCGTAGATTTTCAAAGATTTACTCAATATTCACGTCTGAAATGTTTATACATCTGAAAACAACACTGTCACTCCTTCCTAGCATATCGTCACGCCATCGTGATCTATCGCTTGATAGCGCATGTGCATTTGAGTTACTAAAGAAAATCGGGTGTTCCGGGGTAAAGATCCTTTACACAAACAACATGAGAAGCGAATGTTCTAAAATTTACAAAGAATTACAATAACGAAAGCGATTGCTCGAAATTTTTGTGAACTTGGTAAAAGGATAACAGAATATGTAAATAAATTAACTGAAATTGCCTAAATAACCTTCAAAGTACTGACTAAGCACAATAAATCACTACGAACATAAATCGTACACGCCCCCCGGAAAGTTTACTGTATGACTGAATGAATGACTGACTGACTGACTGACTGTTTCGTTTGAATTTCCCCCACCATCACAATACCGTGAAGTTTCGAAGAAACTTCACACTAAAAATGGGACGTTGTATGTTTGCGAGAGGCACTTCAAGAAAGAGGAATATGAAATGTACTTATATAGACTATAAAATATAGTTTAATAATAAGAATTTACAGTGTAAGTCGCAGGCTTTTTACACTTTGTTTATGCTGTCCCCAGAGCCCATCGTTGTGTGGTACGAGATTGGCTGATTTTATGGAATGTGCCAATTAGTTAACTTAAGAAAGACATGAGTGTTCTTACTGTGTACAGTATGTATCTATTTATTTTCTGAACATTCATAACTTAGAAGTTCATTTTTATCTATCAAAAGTAGGTGGAGCAAAAATTGCTGCAATAGTGTTATTAATTCCACAGTCATGTTAGAAATGCATTGTAATTTGTATTAAATGCTCAAACCATACACTACACAATGTATGTTTAATTAAGCCACAATGCTTCTACTTTATCCTTTTAACATTTGTCTGATGCCATATGATTTTAACTCTTTAAGCTGCAATGCTTAATCTGCACTGCCCTTGATGTGTAAAATTGTCTGATGATAGACACTAACAGAGTAAAGGAATAAGAGCACATTGAGATTTAAACTACAGTATTAGCTTATTTAAACTGCATGACCAAAATTGGCTGAATATTACATAAATGAGAGAAAGTAAGTTTAAGCTGTGTGTATATTTTATATAATATATTGTTGTTATTACTACTGTATGTGTTGATGAAAAGATTACACATAAAATTATGAGGATAATTCATTGATACAGTATCATATTCACATTTACGATCATTGATATAACGTAACTGTATTATGTACCGGACTATTTCAATCTTCAAGTCTTTTCATAAAGCTTTCTTTTTCTGTGTACCCGGACTTATCTTATATTTACAGTATCTACAATCAGATCCTTAGCAAAGGAAAACATCTTACAGTTACAAATAATTTGACTGAACATTCTTTGTAAACAAAAGATTGACATTCCAGTGATGTTTCTACATCATAGTTTTGAGTAATGTTGCACCACAAGTTTGCCACAAGAGGGGAAGCTACTAGCTAGGATACTGATACTGGTAGACTGTGTCCTTGATAGACAGTGTCTACTGATAGACAGTGACCTTGTCTTTATTTGATGTGTGTTTTTAAATACTTCATCCGTGGACGTCCATTTCGACAAGCGCAGTTGTTTACTCGTAATCGTCCTCAAAAGGTGAACAAGAGCTTTCTAAACGCTCAGTATCAATTTCCTCATCTATTTCTATGTTTCCAAACCTAAAACGTGCGTTTTTAACGACCTTTTCCAGCGGCTTTAGCAGTGTGACTTCGCTTCACTTGAAATACGATAGTTCGCAAGTTCCCGGCACCCCGTCGATACTATACACAGCGTCCGCAATTTGGCTTATCACACATAAAAACGTCTCAAAAGCTGCCATTTACGATGGAGATTTACGATAAAACCTTGTATTTTACCCAAACCTCGTATATTAAAGCGGTATAACAAGCAAAAATTAAAGCTTTCTAAGTTGTCAATAGGGAATTGTATTATAGAATCACGCCATGATGCACCTTAACTGTCACGTGGTGCCCTCTATCGAGTTCAGCTCACGAAAGGGGGCGTGATCCTTTGAAGTTTGCCGGCCTTCCAAACCCTCTCATTATATTAACTATGCGGGGACCCAAACATATTTTTTGTTCCCTGTTTGAGTGTGTGGCCCCAAAGGGTCCCCAAAACGTCAGGCCCAAAAATTTAAAATCGAGGGCCCCAAACGTTTTTTTCCCTGTTTCAGCGTGGGATCCAAACAATGCGGGGCCCCAAAGAGTCCAAGGCCCCCAATAACGGAGCCCCAAAATAAAAGAGCAGGGCCGCAAAAAGTCTTTTGTTCCTTCTTTGAACCAAAGCGAGGCCAAAAAAACATTGTGAGAAAATTTCAAAATTTGCAGTTCTTGTTCTTCTAAATACTATAAGATTGCTGAATTTTGTGGAAGATTGCTGAATTTTGTGGAAGACTGCAGAAGTTTATATGGACACTATCATGTAAATAATAATAATATTAATTTAATTATATAAACTGTGTTGAATTTCAGTTTCTTTTTTTTAATGTACAGGAAACTCTTCAACACATGAAATACAAAAGAATACTTTTTAATCATACTGAATTCGGTGTCTAAAATGCCATTGGGCAGTTGGGGAGGGGGTCAAGGGGCCTCGCGCTGATATTATGCCACAGGCCCCACAGAACGTTAATGGAGCAAAGGCCAAGAATTTGACTTTACTTTAACCCATTAAGCACCAGCGCTCTCCCCTTGACGAGTAAAATCATCCGGCATTAGACAGGGTAAAATACTAAAGTAGGGTGCATCAGGGTACAATGCAAATCAATGGGTTAACTAGGCACATGGGCAGATAGGCCAGTTAACCCATTAAGCGCCAGCGCTCTCCCCTTGACGAGTAAAATCGTCTGGCCTTAGACAGAGTAAAATACTAAAGTAGGGTGCATCAGGGTGCAATACAACTCAATGGGTTAAAAACTGCTTACTAAGCAAGTTTCATGGAATAACATAAGATTTATCAATCCGAATTTTTCTTATTATTGACACTACTTTCTACATAATTGACACAGACTGACAGACCTTTCAAGATTATAACAATTTCACATATTTAGGGCAAAAATATTATTCATCACAAAATTACAAAGATTTTAAATTGTAGAATGTGCATGCGCATTCGAGTGGATTTAATATTTTACCTCTTTTAATTCATGTTCTAATATTGATCATGCGATGAAATGATGCAATAATTTGTAAACTTATTATTAGATTCATTTATTTCCTCCTTTGTGATATTGATGGCTTATCTATTTTCTTTCAAACGAGTAAAGTGGGCTTTCTAAAGTAAATTTTCTGAAGTTGGGCAGTCTGCCAGTCTGATACTGTAGCTACATAAATATTGTGCCTTACACATATTTATGCCTCACACACTAACAAATTGCCTACTATATCGACTACGGTAGAGTTGAATGAAACTTACCGCGTATATCAAGATTATCTTTCTGTTCTCCAACGTAAAGAAACACAGTATATTTCAGTTCTATACAACATAATGCGCACCAAACAGGCGATTATTTCACGAGGGGGAAGTGGTATTCTGGTAATTTGAGAACGTTAAGAGGCCGCTATGGCCTATGGGCCTCTATGAGCTAATGTAGAAAATGCCGGTTGCGGATTCCGGACAGCATGGCGCTCGAAAGAAGCTGGGACACCTGACTCTTCCACAGTCCCTAACACTGCTTCTAACGCAAAGGACCATGGGAATGACCATGGGTAATTCAACGCGCGTTAGGTAAGCGACTGGGGACGAGTCAGGCTGGGACACCACAACAGCTAAACATCAATTACAGTGGGCCCTTTACAAAATATCAATAAAAATATAACAAAAATAAGGTTATTTAAGGTACGTTTACATACCGCAATCCGTCGTGTACGACTCGTATTTTGGCGTGTGTAATCGAGGAGGCACGCCTCTAAAATTTCACCTCAATTCAGGGTTTTTTTAAATTGTGGCAGCAAATTAAATTTATGCACCAGAACCCGAATCCCACTGCTGGACAAATGGCATTGTGTAAATACCCCTTTAGTAAGAGCAAGTTAGTGGTCGGATGAGACTTCTGCTTGTGTTATTGATGCAGACAGACTTCCAAGTTCGTGAATCGTCAACATTAATGTAACAGGATCGTAATGCAGTCAAGTAGTATGCTAATATTCATTTCTTAAATTGAATAAAAGAAAGATTATTGAGCCTTAAATGCTCTGGGATGTAACAATGTTCAAAAGAATCAGTTACTTATCAAGCTAGCCACAGTGGTAACCAACAGCGAGAACAATCGGGAACAAACCTACGTCAATCTAACTGCTAACACTTTTAAGACTAAATTTGACAACCTCAAATGCGCATTAATGACAAAACAAAGAAATCAAGTACAGAACATATCAAGCACATTCGGAAATTAAATAATAGGCATAGACCCCGCATAACGTCGGGGTTTTCAAGCACCCAAATCCAAGCACCGTATCACTTGAAAAATCCTGAGATTAACATAGGGTTAAATTAATAGTATGGCGGATGTGTGCATGGATGTTTCCGAAGAGGGTTAAAAGCACCAAATTGTGCACAGTAGAATCTTTTTATGAGTAGAACAACATGCAAAAGTGGGGCCATCGTGAAACTGTTTTTTTAGGGACCGGTCATTATTTATGGCGGGGGGTGGCACCGAAGAGAAAATGGTTGGGTAAACTAAATTTTGAGTAAGTAAAAGGTTGGATAAATGAAAAACAAAACAACTCAAGGGTTGGGTAATAAAAAAATATAGACATAGTCATATGTCAATACAATATGTGAATCAATCAGTCTTTGTCTTGATCATTTTCCAATTTGTTAGAAGACAAATGGTGTCTCCAAAGAAAGCACATGTGCAGACATGATACCTGATTAGACTGCAGCAAATTTCA